GAGAAAATCCTAAGGTCGGAAACTCCAATGTGTAGAATCAGCTGCCGCAGCCTTTCAACTTAGACGTTAAGATAAACGAAAACGAACCCAGTGACAACATAAAACTTCACAAGTAAGATCAACTTTGCAAATATTAATTAATGAAAAATACAGTAGTTATTATCATGTATTCTGTTTTTTCAGATCATTTAAATAAGGAATAACTGAGACATACTACGAGAACTGCATGGAAAAAAAAATTCTGATTAGTTATAACAGGCCTAATATTCACAATAGTAAAATGGCTATTTGCTTTGATTGTTAAAAGTTGATGATATAAAGCCAAAAAAAACATATTTAATGAATAATGCAGATATGGCTATAAAGTCAAACCTGAAGATTTGATGAAATATTATTGGGATAATGAATGTTCTAAAGTAATTATGTCAAATGCTTCAAATTTTGAGCCAGCTTGTATTTCGCCTGCTAAGCAAGAAATAATTTCACCAACTTCTTATCAATCATTGAATTGCAAAAGTAATACAAACGAAATATTTATCTCGTCTTTATATGCAAAACAAAAAACTTACTACTATTTATAAACCATCTTAATCAACTCACATTAAGATTAATAGATAGGATAAAAATCATATTCGTTTAACTAACTGATTCTAAATAATATTTTTTACACTTTTTTTTCTATAACTATTGCTTTCAACTGAAATATAACAGTCAAGTAAAATGTTATTATTTACAGGGATCTAATTGCTTTTATAATAGTATCGATCATTTTTTGTCAATCATTTATATGAAAAACATAAAAAAAAAGATCTGTCTAATATGATTTATTAATATTCTTATCTAACAACTATATTATAGATAATAGGAATATACTCTGATTATTTAAGAATTTATATTAATTATTTTTTTAACATTAAGTCATTATTTTAAACTTTTAACTTGCTAAAACTGCAGTCAATACGAACTTATACAGGGGTTGTTACTTTTTAATTTTAGGCAGTGTTAACATTAATGTTAAAATTAAAGCATAAATTTTAAATAAAAAAAATTTAAATATAATATGCCTATATAAAAATAATTTTTAGATTTGGAAAAAAACCTCCTCATTTTCTTAATTATTTACTTGTATTATTAACATTAATAATAATAATATTAACTTTATTTATAAAACTCAAGTATTATTATAATAATGATAATAATTAATAAATTAATAAAAATAACCAAAATTTTGATTATTTTAAGTGTAGCCTAACAAAATTTTAATATTTAGAATTAAAGTATCTTTTAAAATATTAATAAATCATTACTTTAAAGTATTGCTTTTTAATTTATTACTTTTAAAAATTTGATAAAAGATATAATGATAAACAAAAATTATGATAATTCAAAGAAATTAATTTTACATTATACTGAATGCTTAACCAATTGACACTTCAAAAATGCCAAATTAGATCTGAATAATAACAATAATATAATATCATTTATTACTTAACGAAAATATTTAATTGATATATTTATTAAAAAAAAGTTTTCTTTTGTAAATAGATAGAATATTTTAACCAAATATTATTTTATTAAAGTTCGTTCATTTTTTTCTTTTTTTAAAAAAAAATTTTTAAATAATATATGTCACATTTAATATAAAGTGTTTTTATACAATCAATTAAATATAAAAATCCAAAAATACGAAAAATAAATATGAATAATGCATATGATAGCATAGTTAAAGAATGCAAAACAATTCTAATAATAAAATTTTTTAAAGAAAAGTGAAATTTTTATACTATAAATCCAATTTAGCTGAAGGAAATCAAGTTCAAAATGAGGATTCAGATTCCTTGTCACTTTGTATCTTCCCATATTGAAAATCAACAGATCCTGTGATATCAAAAATCTAATGAGTTATTGTTCAATTTTAAGAATATTTTTTACATATATAATTAAACCTACCAGATATTAAAGAGTCAAATATTATTATCCTGCTTCGTAGATGATTTAGCCAGATATATAAAACACTCAATGTCAACATTGTTACATAAATCAGATATTTGATAAAAAGTTCGATCAATTTCATTTAAGCTCTTTAGTTTTATGATCTTCGCTATTGAAAATCCAATGAATTCTGATTTATGATAAATTGATTCTGTATAAGTAATGACCTCTGCTTTTTCTTCATACCTTAGAAAAAATCAATAATAATTAAAATGACTCACAATTTTTTATATTTTGCTAAACTTTTCTCAGTTCACTAAATATACTAGCGGAGAAAATGTAAAGATTTTTTTTATGAGAAATTGGCTTACCTGTTGTACAATTATTCTGAAAAGATTTTTTGATGAGCAGGTGCTACACATTTATCTTTTATTCTATCAACCCATCATTGATCATTATAGTCAAAGAATTTGCAAATTTGATCATATCACAAAATCTGAATTAGCAGTATTCACTAGAAACTTAACATATGTAAGAGAAGGTTCAAAAGCAAAAAGGCTATATTATACTGTGATTAAAGAAATCGAATGGAATACTAATTCTTACTCACCTCTTAACCAAACCCGTAATCCAAAAATTGAATTAATCATCTATTAGAATCAATGTATTATTATCGCATCATAGAATCGGTCAATTGAGATTCCTAAAAGTTTTTGAAAAAGAGTAAATCTTTACAACTATTAAGGTGAAGTATTTTATGTGACTTCTAAACCAAAAATATTTTTATGATATACAAATAATGCAATTAATTAAAAATCCTTAGTCAAAATGATCTTTTAAAATAATTAAATGGGAATTATTAAATGAAGAGTCACAATGAACTTTTCATCTCGGTTAATGGTGTATAAATTTTTCTGACTGTAGATTAAGATTTCAGAGGCTTAATTAATATAAATAACATCTCACTAAACCCAAATCACATGGAAAAATTTAAAAATCTACAGACAGAATAAATTCAAAATTTTTCTTTTGCAAATACGTAAAATGCATTTTATACTATTAATACATGAAAAGTTAGAAATCAGGTTGTTTTTATGTAATTACTTAAAGGAAAAAGAGTAGAAGCAATTTATGACATGTGAAAAAAATGATCAAGTATTATTACCTTACACATGTGAAAAATTGTAGATATGTATTGATCGTCATTATTTAATTAGTTTTAATAGATTTGCTTTGACAAATTCTTTATCGAATTTGCTGTATTTTAATTTATTAGACTTGACTTTTCTCAATAACAATAAATTTATCAATTCAAAATTAGTTTAAACAATTAGTATTACAATAAATAGATAAAGAAAATTTATTGACTTTTTTTTTTTAATCAATTATTATTTTAAACTTTCAACTTTAATTAATCTAAATCAAAACTTGTTATTCACAAATTTTATATTTAAAAAATAATATGTGAATGCAAGTAAAAACTATGCAAATAGTTACTTTAAGTTAAATTATATGTTGACTAAATTATTAAAAAGTTTACTTGTTAAAATTTTTTTTTTTAAATATAAAGGTATTTATTTTTTCATTCGATTAACAATTATGTCACTCTAATTAATTTTTTAATAAAATTTTTATTATTACACTCTCTTGTCATTCTTTAATTAAATTATTTAATAAACATATTCGTTTTATTTATTTTGTTATTAAAATAAGCTTTTATAAAAAATTGGTAGTGAAAGTTATTATGACTTATTTAATAACTTAGAAATTATGTCTACGTCTTCAACTCTAAATATAAATGATGATGAAACTACTTTTGATATTGCGAATGAATCAGTAAAGGATATTAATAATAAAATGGATTTTAAACAATCTTTAAATGATAATATTGAACATATGGAAAATAATTCTGATGATAATTCTTCTGAAACAGATTCTTTTGATGAATTAATACATATTGAAGATAATGAAGGTAAATTAAGAATATGCATAATTTGCCTATTTAATGATAATAATAAAGTTTTTTTTTATAGATATATATGTAGATACTGAGGACTTAGATGATGAAAATAAGATTACGAAAATTATAATTGAGAAAAATAATAAAATATATTATTCTACTTGTGCAATTATGATTATAGATCTAAAAACTGAAGAGATTAATAAATGCCAAAACCCAAGTATTCAGAAATTATGGCAGTTAGTCAGAATTTGAGAAATTAATTCAGAATCTATTAAAATAGTAAATACTGAACCTAGTAAACTTGATGTTTATAAAACACATTTTAATTTAGATCAAAACTTTCATAAAACAGATTATAAAGCAAAAATATTAACAGAACAATCTATGATTACAATTAGAAGATGTCTTTTTTGCAATTTAGATATTTATATTATATCTCGTGAAAAATTATATTATTCTCATTCTTGTAATCTAATTGAAAAAATCTTTTAATTTTTTGTCTAACGCAATTTTCATATTCAGCAATACAATTAAGTCAAGAATCATTTATTTTTAAAAAAAATCTCAAAACAAAAAAATTTAAAATATCATTATATTTATTAAATTTGTTTTAATTTAAATTTACATTCCTTCTAGACAAGGAAAAAGGCATATATCTTATATAGAAAATAATTATCATAATAATGATACTGAAAAAAGTTTAGAATTAATTAGTAAAT